CATAACAAGATTTAAGAACTGAAGCTTCAAGTTATATTATAAAAACATTTTTGTCTTTGCTATATATATCATCTGGGTTCTCATATATACCTAAATACTATGTTTTACAATATGTACTTAAAAAAAATACTTAAAGGCAGTGATAAATCCATTAGTATGTAATTTCAATGTTTCTAATGATGTTGCTAATATAATAGCAGGAGAAAACCTATTTGATATTATCAGAAAAGAAATTAGATATAACTGATCTACACGATCAAAGGCATTCAGATGTATATTGAAACACAACAGCAATACAGATATATCTCTATGAGATGTGAATGGACCCATTAGTTGAGCTGAAATCACATATTATGTGTCAATACCAAATATGATAAAACCTTGTGTCTCTGTGAGTGTGGTTTCGAAAACATTATGCTTGAAAATCAGAATAAGGATGGTTGAGCAATGTAGACATAACTAAAGATTTTATTAAATGGATCTGCTAAAATTTTTGGTGCTTTGATAATAGTGAACATTTTTTTTTTGTGAAATATTTTAGTAGAAACAACCAACATCTACTTTGTTCGACGGTCGTCACGCAACTGTCTCTTTTATTATTCTTTCTCTTAATTCTACCTTAGTTTACATGTGTATGCTTAATTCTATCTTATGACTACAATACTTATATACTATCATACATCTACAATACTTATACTACTACAACTCGGCCATCCTGACCTCAAGGATCTCCTGATTCTTGATTTCTACTTTTAGACCTTAACATTCTAGTGCTTTCATTATTATTAACATTTTTCTCTCTGTCATCTGACACCATACATTTTCCAAACCACGGTTTCATATTTGAAGCTGCCCAAATACCTTTATACACCGCTTTAGAATGTTGAAACCCTTCTACATCTTCTATTACAAACCTATCGTTCCCAAGTAATTTTGTGATTTTATAAGGGCCTTTGAATTTAGGTATTAGTTTTTTTGAAACTCCGATATGAGTATCATAATTTCTTATCATAACATAATCACCTATCTTATATTTTGTCCCTTCTCTACGCTTCATATTCACAATTTTTTCATTATATTTTTGAGCTTTTTGTTGTTTTTCTTCTGCAACGAGTCGTAGCTGCTCTAAATTCCTTTCTGGTGCGTTTTGTTCAATATCTACTACGTTCTCTTTAAGGCTATCTATAACTTTCCCTTTTTGATTTACTCCAAATAACATAACGCTCGGATGTTCACCGATCATTCTATGAACTGTATTGTTCAGGGCATATTCAACTGTTTCTACAACTTTGTCCCAGCTTTGTTCTGACTGCGCACTTACTAACTTAGCTATCATAGGTTTTAGATTTCTGTTAACACGTTCTACTTGGCCGTTAGCTTGCGGAGATGCGGTGGCTATTTTTATGTGTTGAACGTTATTAGCATTTAAAAATGACTCGAATTCACCAGACGTAAAACATGACCCTCTATCTGAAATAATACACCTGGGTCTGCTATAAGCTCTAAAGTAATCGCATAATGCTTGCACCGCCTCCCTTGACTTTGTCGTTTTTGTTGGATAAAGCCTGACAAATTTAGTACACGCATCAACAACAACTAACAAGTGTTTCATAGAACACTTCTTTCCTTCAATCGGTCCAAAATGATCGATATGAACAACGTCAAAAGGACTTATTCCTTTCGGAATATTGTGTAAAAAACCTTCATGTCTACCACTTTTATCTGAAAAAGCAATACACTTTAAACAATTTTTTATATGAACGTCTACTTTTTTCTTCATGTTTGGAAACCAATAAGTTTTGGAAATTATTTCTACCGTTTTGTCAACCCCTACATGACCCATTTCATCATGATATTTGTGTAATACGTTTGATTCCATTATTTCAGGGACACAGAATAATAGGTTGTTGTTATTATTTTTTCTATAAACTATACCATTACGCATTTCATATGTTTTACTTTCTGCCTTTTCCAACTGCACCTTAAGAGCTTTTAACTTACTGTCCCTGTTCTGACATACTACTAAATCCTGTTCGAACGAATTTCCCTCTACTACTAATATATTTGTGCTTCTACTTAGCGCATCTACGTGTTGCATGTTCTTTCCTGACCTATGTTGTACCTCATAGTCATAATTCTGTAATTCCAATGCCCATCTGGCTATTCTTGGATTCAACTCTTTTTTTTGAAGTGTGAGTGTTAACGAATTGCAATCTGTAACTATCTTGAACTTTCGTCCCGTTAAGTACACTCGAAATCTTTCTAACGCATAAATTATGGCTAGTGTTTCTAGCTCAAAACTATGGTATTTTGACTCCGTATCTGTAGTTCTCTTGGAGAAAAAGAATACTGGATGCCATTTGTCATCTTTTTTTTTCTGCATTAATACAGCTCCAAACCCAATACTACTCGCGTCAGTATGTAACTCTGTCTTATCATTCGGATCAAATAAGGCAAGGATCGGTGATTCTACTAATTTTCCTTTCAGTGTTTCAAATGATGCTAACTCCTCGCTACCCATACTAAACCGTTTTTCTTTTCTGGTAAGATCATACAAAGGTTTGGCTATCAATGAAAAATTTTTTATAAATCTACGAAAATAAGAACATAACCCCAGAAAACTTTGTAGCTCGTGAGCATTTTTTGGCAACGGAAAATTTTTAACAGCCACCAACCCTTCGTCATCTGCTTGTATGCCTTCACCGGTTATCCTATACCCTAAATATTTAACGCTTCTGTATAAAAATTCACATTTGTCTAGTCTTAACTCCAAATTATTTTTTACTAGTCTCTAAAAGACTTCCTCTAAAGTGGCTAAATGTTCTTCTACACTTTCTGTTGCGATCATAATGTCGTCAAGATATATTATCACTTTATTATTTTTAATCATATCAGCAAAAATTTTGTTTACAAATCTTTGAAACGTCGAAGGCGCGTTTTTCAAACCAAACGGCATTCTTAAAAATTCGTATTTACCTAACGGTGTAACAAAAGCTGTGTATTTAACAGCTTCTTTATCCATATACACATGAAAAAACCCATTTTTCAAATCCAATTTCGTAAACCATTTTTTGTTACCTAACTTGTCCAATAAATCATCTATCAAGGGCATTGGATAATTATCTTTTAATGTTACTTTGTTTAATGTACGATAATCGACACACATTCTTAATTCGCCTGTCTTTTTCTTCACTAACACAATTGGTGAAGAAAATTCTGACTCACTTTCCTTAATAATACCTTTGGACGTATAGTCATCTAACATTTTTTGTAACTCATCTTTTTCTGTATATGCAAGTCTTCTTGGGGAGTAATTAAATGGTTTAACATTATCTAAACTGATCTTCATTTCACACTTTATCTCGGGTTCTTTTGGACGCACTGGTGTCAGATAACATTTAGTAAATAACTCTTCTAACGACACTTTTGTTTTAAATGACACTTCTGGACCAATATTATATTTTTCTTTATGTTCATCATTTATATCGATTGCTAAAATACTTTCTTCAAAAGTTTTTGCATCGTCACAATTACTGTCATCACTTAATTTTATATTTTTTTGATATTTAAATCTACTGTTTTCTTTTGGCTGATCTTTACAACAATTTTTCCATATTATCTTTGCATTGCTTTTTCTTAAAAAATCTCTACCTAAGACTGCTTGGCTGCCCATAGAATCATCAGCAACTACATAAAATTTAATCATTACATTTTTTTTATTCAAAAATATCAAACAACTTATTTCTCCAACTATTTTTAATTTACTTTTATTAAGGCCAAAATATTCTACATTCGAAATTTCATTTAACTTTACCGCTTCCGGTACACAACATTTTTTCAAAAAACTAATTGGGCTGCCAGAGTCTATTAGGCATTCTAGAAATAAGGATACTTTATATAAGCCTATAATTGACATACGAAAATACCTTACATAATTATTTTGTTGTTCGTTGGCGTTGAATTTTTTACTGGGACAGACTGCAACCCGGTGTTCCAAACTACCGCATCCATAGCAAGCTCCGAATGGACGTTTCGGTTGACGACACTCAGCGGCAACATGCCCAGTATTACTGCAGTTAAAACATCTTAAGCCTTGCTTTACACGCCTTTCATTCGTCGACACTGTCCTAGCAGTATTTTGATTAACATCGCCAAACGCTGCTACCAATTTTTCTTTTGATTTGAACTGCTGCATCTTTGCAATCATACGCAGTTGTGGATCACGTATTCCATCAACAATGTATTCAACTAACTCTTCTTCCGACATATTTATCAGTAATGATAAAACAATTTTATCGTTGTAATAATCAACAAATTTTTCATCATCGGACCACAAACGTGTTTCAAATTTGCGACGCAATTGAACAATACTCTCTTTTGAGCCAAATACGGAAATCATTTGTTCGATCAATATTTTACTGCTTTGTGTAAGAACATTTGGTGTAGAGTGGAGCCAATTTTGTACTCTACCTTTTGCTTTCGTTATAATAAGTGTTCGAACTACATTGTCTTCTAATTCGTAAGCTTTTTCTAACGCTTCAAGTTGCGTAACCCAAACATTAAAATTGTTACCATCGCATTCCGGTAAAAATTCTTTTAATATTATGAGCGGTACTTCTTTTCTTTGTACTGAATGTTTACATTCGCTTAAACTCGAAGTGTTTAATTGTAATTGAGTCATTTTCTTTGTCAATTCATTCTCTTTTTTAAACAGATCACGCTCTTTCTTAAGCAACTCAATTTCTTTTTGCATGAGTTGCATTTTTTTTATTTCTTCTTCTCTAATAGTAGTTTCTCTTTGCATTTTTGCTTCCTCTGTTTCTTTGTTATTCACTTCCTCCCTTACAATTTGATTTCGCTCGTTACTCACAATTTCACAATTTTGTACAACAGACTGCTCAACTGCTTCATCACATTCTGGCGTCACTGTTTTTTTTATGCTCATCGGCGCACACTCACTGCGAATATGCTGTGGCACTTTTGTTAAACGCGCAATCAACTCCGTTTTGTTTCCACTTACTTGCAACTTCAATTTTGTCAGCCAATTTTTTAGCTCCTCCACCGTTAGATCATCAAAACATAAAACGTCAGCTATGCCATCCATTCTTCACAGTTTTATATAAAAATTTTATATATATATATTTTATTACACACGGGCTTTAAAAAAAAATTTTTTTTTTTTACTTGATCCCACTTCTGAATTTTAGTAGAAACAACCAACATCTACTTTGTTCGACGGTCGTCACGCAACTGTCTCTTTTATTATTCTTTCTCTTAATTCTACCTTAGTTTACATGTGTATGCTTAATTCTATCTTATGACTACAATACTTATATACTATCATACATCTACAATACTTATACTACTACAATATAGAGTACTAGTTCCAGTACCAGAACTTAGTTCTGTCATTTTTGTAAAAATACAAAGAAAAATTAAATATACACAAACATGTTATATTTTTCCTGTTTATTATTATTAATAAATATACCAGTAAATATATTTATAGACACATTAAAAAATTTTAAGGGACTTCTTTACGCTGAGGAGTTTTTTTGGTTTGTTTTATTTGTTTTGGACCATTTTCCTAAAGACTATTTTCTATATTAATTTGGATTTCTTGTGTTTATATATATTTAATAGTTAAATATGGTATAGACTTGATAGAATCCTTTTATACTTTTGCTTGGATTTTTTTGTATTAGACTGGATTTTGGATTTTAGTTAATTAGACTGTAGAAGCTTTTCATATCTACTCGTATTATACCAGAGCTTTATGAAGACATTATCTGTTTTAAAATGACTTTTATGTTATATTTAAAAATAAATCAGCAATTATAAAAATTTCTAAAATTACTTTCCAATAAATTAAAAATTGATAAACCGATATTTTAAAGTAAATGAGAGACCTATTCTAGTTATGAATCATTTTTAGGCGTATTAGAGCATTCTAGAAGTTCAAATTTATTTTTATTTACATATATATCCGTTACATCTTATCTCACTGACACCTAGGACGTCAATAATACCACAATAATATTTTGTAGTAAATTGTATAAATTGTCTTACTTAGTAGTACATTCGTACATCCCACTTCAAATCAAGACTGTGAATTATTATGTGAAAAGCCGTTCATTGTTATTATAGAAAGATATATAATATTCATTAAGAACAGTTGATTGGTATTAGTTGATGAGACTGCTATAATATTATTCCTGAAAATGAATTTTTTTGGTCTCCAACATTGACATTAGAAGTAGTTCTACTTAGTATTTTCAGAAGCTAATAAAAATGTTAAGAAATGGTTAAGCTGCTTAGTGTTTTAGATAATACTAACTATTCGTAATATATGTTTGATATAAATTTGTATTTGAAAATATAATTATATTATCTATTTTTTTTAATTTTTTTTAATATTATTAAAGAAAAACTTTCTTTATTCAAAGAAATGCAATAAATATCAACAATTGTGAATTACTTGTGGAGAGTTACTAAGCTTTCACCATACAGCTTGCATTAGATATTATCGTATTTAATTTATTTTGAATCGCCAATAATGATTCTCTTCAAAAACGGTTTAATTTTGTTGGATTTTTGTAGTTTTCGACTGATGGTAATTTAGTCAATAAAATTTCTTGTCTTTAATTCATATGGTACACAAACCTTACCTTAGCCTTACCTTAGCCTTATTTCAAACTGTCATGTGGTTGATATTTAGTGAATTCGGTATCTTCTGTCAGCTTCAGTACCAGTATCTCTCCATTCTCATTGCAGTGGCTTTTTTAGTGACTGGTCGAGCAGAGTGAGGTTTATCTTTGATATCGAAATTTTCAGAACTGATTGGACTAATCCACTCCCTGTTTCAGCATTCCCTCACAGCATCGTAAGCGTAAACTGCACAAATGGTTATGTTTTTACAGCATTTACATATTTTTTATAATAATAAAGTAGTATATAGCGTATTTCTTTGGATATTTCAATCATTTTTAAACCTATTGGGCCTATTTACACTATCATGAACGTGAGATGAACTTGACTTCAACTGTCAGTTCATGAACTGTCAGTTCAGTTTACACTATCATGAACTGTCATGAGCGTGAAATTTGTTTTGTTTTGTGTCAACGTATACAATGCTTGTGTGTAGTGGTGCATAGCACAAAAATTCAAAATGTTCAGCGTTAAAAAGTAAACATAAACATAGCATTGAAAAAAACAGCAAATTTCGTTGCTTAAAATTCATGAACTCACTTCACTCTCTCTTCCCTCTCTCATCGCTCATCTATCCGAAATCGGTTTTCAAGTTCATGTTCATGTTACGTTCATTATAGTGTAAATTGGGCCATTAAGCTGTTGTACAAGCGACAAATTACACAACTACCTTTCCAAAAAATGTAGTCTGAAATATCACTTTCCAAGCATGTGTTCTTTTGACATAGTCGGATTAGTGGGTACAAACACCTTCTAGTGACAAAAAATGATGGACGCTATTTATATAACCTAACATATAAACTAAATTTTCTC